GTAGCTCTGTTTCTTCTTCTTCTTCTTTTCAATGTGAGGAATTTATTGAAGTCTCATCCTCTCCTGTGTCCTAGGTGCATGTCCTGCAAGCTCTCTCTCACCCACAGCTGCAGCTTTTGATTCACCAGAGTCTCATATACGTACGGCGTGGCGCCTGAAGAACGAGATCCCCAACTCGCACATCCTCAACCAGTATGGCAATTCAAGCAGCCCCCTGGCTCACTACGACACCACGGCTGAGGAGATACTGGAGCAGTGCGATGGTTTGAGCTGATAGAAACTCTGATTTTTGATGCATCTTCTAGCTTGAGTCTAATTTTTGCTGTACATGTTTAATTCAACAGCTGATTTTGAGGGTAATGAAAAGAAACACATGGCTTTGCCACCAAGTCTTTTCTTTCTCTCCCTTCACTCATTGAAGTAGAAAATCTGAGCCTGGCTCTGAGGAGCAGCGTTAATTTTGTTCTCAACAACCATATTTTTTTCCTGATGAAAACAAGAACGAGAAAAGACAATAACCAAATAAAAACGAACGCACAAAAACTGTGAAAGTGTCAAAATTATGTTTTGACACTTTCATCAACAAAAAACAAAGTATAATGAGAATTTCTGGAGAGATGAGGTGGGACGAGTTTGGAAGTGATCCAATCAGAAGTAATCTTTTTGTGCACTGAGGTTAGACTTGCACATTTGGTCTGCCCATGGAGGCATGTGAAACAGTACATTTCACATTTTTACATTTCCCGTTCCCGCTGTTTCTCATGAAAACGTGACAAAATGTCAACGCTTGGGAGGAGACGAACAGTAAACATATGGACAGATTCCACATTATTTGCACAAATGTATTAAATTACTTTTAATCATACAAGAAACATGCCTGAAACGCTGATCTGTATATCAAACTGCACGAATAAATGAAGGCATATAGCTTGTTCTTTTTGTTAAACCTTGAAAATTCCTCTAATCGTTCAAATTAGCTTATTAGGCATGAATGTGAAATTATATTATTATTTAAAAAAAACTTTTTTACAGCTTGAAAAAGAAAATGTGTTTTTGTTTTAGGTCAGTTGGACATGTTGGTGGCTGGAGTCAGCACAGGCGGCACGCTTACTGGTGTTGCTCGAAAGTTAAAGGAAAGATGTCCAAATGTCAAAGTGAGTACCACACAACCTATTAGTCCACAGTCTTTAATGGATGGTTTTTATTTACTGTATTCATAGCTTGAGGCAAAATTTCTGACTCACGCTGATGCATATCCATCAGTGAAGCAATGCATGTATTGGCAGCTCCATCAAACATTACTTGATAACTGTATAATCCTGCAGTGTTTGCAGCCTCTTACCTCATTCCTCATGTCTGTTTTTAGGTAGTCGGTGTGGATCCTGAAGGCTCTATTCTGGAAGGCTCAGAAGGGAAGAATAAAAAGTTTCCATTTGAAGTGGAGGGAATCGGCCTTGACTTCATCCCCACCACGCTGGACAGATCTGTGAATATTTTTGTTAACATGCACATTTGTAAAGTGAGTATTTTTGCTAAAC